GAGCCGGAGCTCGGCCGCTCGTGAGCTGGTTGAGATCCGTCAGCGGCTTGCCGGGCTCCAGGACGAGGTAGCAAGCCTTGCCGACCGAGTGACTGCTTTAGAGCTGGCCTCTGAGTTTGAGCTCGTGCTGCCCACCGAGGAAGCTGCCGAAAGCCCCCGTAGTACCAGTGCTGCATCATCCCACGCCCCTGTGAGCACGGAGCGGCGATTGGCCGCAGCAAGGTCCATTGGGTTGTTCTGGGTTCGCTGCCTGAAGGGCAGAGCCAGGGGCCCATCGGGTCGCGACTCGATCCCCCTGCCCAGTGTGATCTTACGTGTGTGTGCAAGACATCAACGGCCATAAGCATTCGCCCGTTAAAGTGTTCCAGAGCTTTGCCCAGCTGGTCCCGTGGGTCGGCAAGCGCGGAGAGTTCGGGGATTCAGTGTTCACCGGTTTCCCCTCCGAGTGGGAGGCCCGTGCTGCCGTCACTGCTGCCGGCCTTGAGTGGCCATGACCGAGCCTGAGCCTGCCACGCCGGTGACCGAAGCCCTTGACGGGCCTCGTAATAATCTGATAATAGGGGATAGTGGGGTAGATAACTTTTACCCTTTTGGTGTCCTCAGTATCGTTGAAAGTGAGGCCACTACCACTGTGGCCGCTGCTGTGGCCGCCGCTGCCATCTGCCTGGTTGGTCCGGACGTGCTTGTTGCCATCCCGCATCGTGCCTGGCACAGGACCATTGCCCGGCGTGTAGTGCCCCTGCAATTGTTCAGCCGACCGTCCGTGGCCACAGTTCGGGGCGCCTCGCCAGAGAATCGTGACCAACCGTTGCCCGACCTGTCACTGCGTGTTTGGGTCGGACTCCTCAGTCACGAAGCCGAAGGTTTGGTTAGTTTCCCTGCTCCCGGAAGTGAGGTCGCCGTCGACTTCTCGTTTGCAGAGCAAGAGGGAGCTGCCGAGGTCCTCCCATTTGCTGGAGACCTAGTCAGGTTCGCCGAAGAGCTTTACCCTGACCTGTTCCTCAGCGCCGACAGTGCCGGTGCTGAGGTGCCTGCATCTGGCCTTGACCAGCGAGTAGAACGACTTGAGGGTACCCTGGGTAATATCCAAGCTAGCCTTGAGCGACTACTTTCACGAGAGACCAGTGAGCCATGCAAGCCCGCTGCCACACCCGCGCCAGCCCGCCAGCCAGCACTCAAGAAGCCGCAGGGTCCTCCGCCATCAGGACCCGCTGCCGCCGTGTCTGGGTTGCCTCTGCCCGGATTAGATCCTGCAGTCGTCAACGCAGCCATTGCTGCTGGCATCAGCCGCGAGCATCTGGCAGAGATGAGCGCACTCATCCAAAAGCGACCTGGGAAGCTGGGCGACATCCCAGCCCCAGCGGCAAAGAGGCCCCTAGCCGCCCGTGCCGACCCTCTGTCAGCAAGTGCCAGCGAGGAGGAGGAGCCGGAGCCCGCCAAGGGCGTGGACCCGGTTGCAAAGGCTCTGAGCAAGTTGACCGAGATTGCGGACGCTCTTGCATCGAACAGAAAGCAGGAGAGAGGCTTGCAAGCCATCCTCGAGGGCGCCGGGAGCAACAGCAGCCACGGGGAGGGCGCCTCTGGATCTGCCGGGCGGCGGAATGCCGTGGCCTTGCAGCAACTCAGGGCTGCCCTGTCATCTCAGCCTGCCTACATCTACGAGCGCATCGAGGCAAACCTCCGGGCCGATTTCAATCTGGCCCGTCAGTTGCCGGGCTCGAGTGCAGTGCCTGTGTCCGCCAGGGCGTGGCTGGAGCTCCGCTCCAAAGTGCAGCCCTATCAGACCAACATACGCTTCATTTGGGGAATAGCGGGGGTTTGGGATTGTCTCATGAACGAGGAGCCAGGTGTGCGTTGTTGGTTGCTCAGGGGGACCAGCTAGCTGTGGATCGAGGCTCGTGGGTTCTCGCAGGCGAGCTCTCGCTCGAGGAGAGTCCTCCTTTCTCGGCGTTCAATCATCACCGTCTCCCGGAGGGGTCCGAGACACCGTTCACAAAGCTCGCAGAGCCTGTGTGGCTGGACCTGTTGTTGTGGAAGCTGAAGGAGATCGAGGACTTCCTCGACAAGAGGAAGAAACTCTCCCAGCGTGCCAAGCCTCATGGAGAGCAGCCCAACCCCGAACAGATCAAGCCTCGGGGAGACACACGCCCTCCCAAGCCAAAGGGGAAGGGCAAGGGCCCAGGGAGCCAGCCATTGGCCCCCGAGCCAGCCGCCCCGTGAGAAGAGCATGCACTGACCAGCCGAGGACGCCAGGCTCGGGTGAACCGTTTTTGCCAAATACAGTCCCGGGCTCGTCAGCCAGCACCGTGCATGCCCGAGCCCTGTGGGCCTCTTTAATTAGACATATTTTGCACAGTGCCTCAGTTAACCTCAGGCGCTTTTTCCTCAGTGCCACTCAGCCAGTGTCTGCCCCGCGCGCAGAGTGCGGGACCCCAGGAGCTCTGTGGCCCATGCCGCTGCCTTACTTGTTGGGCCGAAGTTCACACTTGTGGGAGGGTAGCCCCGACCTTGTGAAGCTCTGCATCAGCATAATAATCGTTGTGTTGAATTGGCTTCACTTTGGACAGCCCCGTTCACCAGCAAGCAGGAGGCCTACAACCCTCTTTCCTACCCCATCAGCCAGACCCGCCCCCCAAGATTTTATAAAATTTCATACCAATCACCCATATCAAAACCCATATAAGTTTCATAACACGTGCCTAACCAACCTCATAATCAAAATGCTTTGAGTTATTCATTTTATAGAATAACTTAAACCATTTCAAACATCCTTAACCTCATTCTTTTCTAAATTTTCTATGTGCTTCCTTGCTCGTTCGTGCCGTGCCTTGTGCTTTAATTTAATCTCACAATCACATACAGAACAATGATATTCTCTCTGTCCGTATTCTTTGTTTATTTCTCGTATTTCTTCCTTATGGTTGTCTCGGTATGTTTTTGAATATACTATTTGCTTGTCTCGGCACTTATCACAAGTTTTATGATTATCTGAAAATAATTCCAATCTTTCTAGAAAACTCGGCAATGAGACAACATTGTTTTTTCCCCTTCATACGCTACTGTTTCTTCTTAATCGCTTCTCTTATCAATTTCTCTTTATTTCTGACTTCCTTCTTTGCTTTCCACAGGCATTTATCAACAAGATTTTACAATTATTTAAAATAAAATTGAAAATTCTTAATCTCTTTGACAACCGAGCAATGTTTCTTATCCATAATCTTCTAATATAATAAGCCACCAACCCTTTAAACCGTTTTTAGGCAAAATGCTTACTCAGATAGGTTGAAGGTTCAGGCAACGAAGTTGCCTAAGAGGTTTGATAAATCAAACCTATCCCCTTATCCAAAAACCCCCAACAACAAAGAACATAACCAAAAACCGAACAAGGAACAGAACACAGAACATTCCAAAACAACCAACCAACGAAACATTCCAACGCTCCTTTTCAAAGAACCTAAACAAAACCTCAAACAAGAACAGCCCCCCTAAATCAAAAGTCCAAAAAACAACATGTTTAAGATAATTAGTAATTATCTTAACAATGGATTTGTTCTGTTATTCAAACATTTTCTTTCAAGATTAATCTGAAACCAAATGATTGTATGCCAAAATAGTAAAAAGTATCGTTTTGGTTTTGAATGATATTCTTCAACTTTTTGACTGCTCCGTTCAACACTTTGTTAATATTGTTTTCGTTTATAGTTTCATAATCATCATCATCGCTATTCAATTCATTAGAACAGAAACTTATGCTTAAACTTAAAAACATGCCTTCTTTATATTTGCGTTCTTTATGTCTTACTCTTATATCTAAAAATACATCTAATTTGGATTGATAGTCAGTGTTATGTTCTACTTCTTCATAGATTAAACTTAATATTTCCTCCTTTTGTTTGTTGATAATACTTTCAATGCTGTCCATTCCAAATGGCACTCTTCTTTCAATATCATATTCCCTTTTAACTTGTTTCTCTGTTCCCCCTCCATTTAATTTTAGGTATTTGTATATTGTTTGTGGTTCAGTTGTTGTAATTTTGTAATTGTTTTGTATTCTCTTCAATGCTTCAATATGGCAACTTTTTATTTTTATATACTCAGGTTTGCCAAATTTAAAGGCATTAATATTACTCAATACTTCAACAGGTAAATTACTAATATCGCTCATATCTCTCTTAATATATATAGGCAATATGTCTTTAAACCCTTTTTAGTCTAAAACTACAATTCTAAATAATAATTAAGATAATCAATATATTATCTTAGTTATTTATTCAGTTGCTGTTTGCTTGTTCTTGCTCTTCCATTGCCTTTTTGTGTTTTAATGTTTGTTGATGTTTTTTGAGGTTTGCCTTCCATAGTTTTGCGCCACATTCACATTGTATTTCTTGGCGGGTTCTCTCCCTCCATTGTTTATCCATCTCTTTTTTCCGCTCCTTGTTGTTTTCTCGCCACTGTTTTGCCTGTTCTTTCACATATTCTGTATTTGCCTCTCTCCACTTCTTTATATGCGCAGTGCGCCCTTCGGGGTCATGCTTGTATCGTTGCCTGTCGTATTCTCTAACTTTATCAATATTGGCATTGCGGTGGTCTTTTTGCCTTTGAAGCACTGCCTCTCTGTTGTCTTCTCTGTATTTCTTCGCTTTTTCGGCGCATCCTTCCCTGTTGTCTTCATACCATTGTTTTTGGTTTCGTCCTGCCACTTTATCATTTAAAGTTGCAATTTGCCTTATCCACTCTCCTTCTCTTGCTCTTAATTCTTCCTTACTTTGACAGGGGAATAGTTCCACAAGTTCTATGTAGAATTTTTCTTTACCATGTAGTGCCATGTGTTGATACAATTTGTATTGCGGTTTGTGCTCAATTTTTGCCTTGTGTTTCGCCATTCGTTGGCATAGTTTTTCAACAGTTGAACCAATGTATATTTCATCATCAACTGAATTCAATATCTTGTATATTTTGCCATTCTCATACTTACACATATCTATATAATATTATCCTTTTTCTTCTTTATATATCTTTTTCATTCTTTCTAATCTACTTTCAGCAATTCATGCCTCAATAATGGTTTGGGTCTTCCATTCACATAGTAATATTTCTGCCCCAATTTAGTTTCTATTCTTTCAATTGTGAAGATTTCTTTTAACCAATGACTTGTATGTGCTTTCTCGCTTATTCCCTTTTTTCTCATTATTTTTACTTGACTGGATACATCTAAATCAGGATACAAACGGGTTTTTCTGGCATTCATTGATATATTCAGTTTCACTTCAAACTCATTCTTTTTCTTCCTTGCTTCTAATGGTGTCATTTTCGTAATAGAACTTACCAATTTATTATTATAAGTTAATAAGATTTCCAATATGTAGTCAGTCCATTGAATATTATTTTTACCTTTCTTCTCATCGGCATCAACTCTTTTGAAAAGCATATCTTTAAATGTCCTTATGAAACGTTCTCCGAAAGCAGGGTGCCCCCGTGTAGTGTGTAATTCAATTTTCTCTTCCTTCAAATAATCTGTAATGGTAGAACTAAACAGACTGCCTTCTTCGTCGCTGTATATTAATTTAGGTTTGCCATCCATCTTTTTTAATCCTTCCATTATTCCAGCTAATACATCAGCAGGTTGCTTACTTTTAATAGGTATAACAGTAGCATATTTACTGAATATATCAACTAATATTAATCCAACTCTAAACTTTTGATTATCCAAATCATTTTTTGAAATGAAAAACAAATCCAACTGGAATTCCCAAAAGGCATGAGGAGCAACAAAACTATTCTGTCCTCTTGGTTTTCTTTTCTCTTCAATATTATTTTTAAAGAATTCATTTACATCACTCATAGTAATTGTTTTGTCCTTCCTTCTTGCATCTTGTAAAGTTATTGCTTTGCTTCCATATCCGCTTTTGTCATAGTAAATATCACTAATTATTTTTTGTTTATCCATATAATAAATTAAGATTTATTATATTGATAATATAATTTATATTTTAAGTTCAGGATAATAAGTTAATTGATGACTATTTAATGCTTCATACATCTTGCTCCTTTCAAACATCATTTTAAAAAATATAATTAAGATTTATTATATTGATCAGGATAATAAGTTAATTGATGACTATTTAATGCATACATCTTGCTCCTTTCAAACATCATTTTAAAAAATATATTAATGTCTCTCACTGTATTTTTAACATTAAACTTTTTACGTTCAATATATGTTTTTACATCTTCTTTTAAATCAAAGCCTGTCCTTCTATGATATAATAGCATCCATAATACACTGTTAATCATGTCATACTTTTTCTTACTGATTTTAAGAAATGCTCTAATATAACTATAAGGTGGTCTTTCATACACAGTTAAAAATATTATAATGTCATCTTCAACATTTGTTTTAAGAAACCTTTTATGGTTCAAATGACATTTGATTAATTCTTGATAAAACCTCCAATTTTTACAAATTCTACATTTTTCTTCGTCCAAAGCATAATCAATAATATTATTAACTATTCCATTAGGTAAATTTAATTTGTATAGTTCCATATTCTCTTTTTTGAAATGGCAACAGTCATAGCATTTCTTATTAATATAATTATTTACTTCTTGTTCCTTCATTACTCTCTACTATATATAGGTATTATGTCTTTAAGCCCTTTTTAGTCTAAAACTAAGATTTTAAAATAAAAATCTTAAAATCTTAATGTGCTGATACATTACAATAGTAGCAATAACCGACGCAATTATCCACATCATGTGGGCGAAAATTACAAAGCCTTTGTGCGGTAAAATTACTACACAATTTACCTTGTTTAGTTTCAAAGTTAAATGGTGTATTACACTTCTGGCATCTGTTCTTGAAATTATCCAAGCACCATTCGGCAGTTATGTATTCCTCTTCATTGATTTCTCTCTTTGCTTTCCTATCCTGTATTTTATAATTTTCTACTTTATTCTTAAAATATCTCATTATCATATTTTTATTCAATTGCTTTTCAAAGTCATCATTCTTGAAAAATCTGACTTTTCTGAAATCAACGCACCTTGTAATAGAAGTCCAAAGCCACTCACGATTTACAAATGGTAAATTCCATTCATGAATTGTCATTCTTTCTTTCACACTTGCACCCTGTGAAGAATGGCATGTTGCACAATATGAATAAATGAAATTAGCCTCTACAATAGGTTCAAACAACATAAATTTATCTTCTTCCCTTGCTATATTTTGTAATGTGATTTGTTTTCCTAATTCATCATCTTGTATATGTGTAATCCTGTATCTCAAATTTACATTAACCCTCGGCTTTTGCATCCATTTTCTGGCAATCAGAATATCGCCTATTACATATTTATCTTTTATGTTTAATCTGTCTCTGATTTCACTTGCTACATTTCTACACCTAATATTAGTATAAGCGATGTTATGCTCTGATGCCATTATATCATTAGTTATTTCAAAATATTTAGGTATTATTTCATTGATAGGCAGTTTCTTTTCCC